GGTCACCATTTCTGTCAGCAAGGAACTCAATATAAAGTGACAATGGCAATGATACACACACACACACACACACGTATATGTGTACACACACAATATATACATATATACATAAACACACACACACATAACATTTGATAGAATTGACATTGGGAGTTACTTTTCCAACTTATATTCCTTTCACCATCAAGGTAGTAAAGTTAGAGAATATTTCATTCACAGGGTTGTGTGAAAAAAATACTATGGAGATGATGCACTGACAAAATAACGAGAAACATCTTGGAAGATACAGATGTGGAAATGACATGTATTTTTGTCTTCAAGTTACTATCATTTTGATTTAGTAATTGAGCATAATATTTGTGAAATGCTGCAATAAAATTTCATTTATGCAATAAAATTGCTGTTTTTCAGTCCTTTAAAAACAGCTAGACATGCAATTATTCATTAAACATGTATACTAGTATATACTACTGTACAAAATGATGGAATCGACTGTTTTTGTTCACCCAACAAATCATCTAACAGTTGAGATGACAGCCAAGAACCAGAAATGGATATTATAATTCCAATTTTACACCCATGCAATATTCTCCAAACATAAACTTGTTGAATAGGAAAGTACTAAGTGGGTAATAGAGCCCCAAAGAAAACATGTCTAAAGCAGCACCCAATTATTACTGCTTCTGGCACTAAAGCAAGAATGAAAATGGTTCGTTGAACCATCTGCACAGTTATCTGTAATCGGCTCCTGTTTTGACAGCCCCTCTTCTGGATTATTTTTTGCATTCACTTATTCATTCCAATCACTCATTCATCAACCACTTATTTTCCAAGCAAGAGAAGGCACTTTGCCAGAAGAGAAACAAAGAAATGAAAGAGAGGGACTCTGATTATGGTAGCTACTAGTGACAATAACTGTTGTAAAGAAAATTCAGTTCAGGTGTTATCACTCTACAAAGAAGAACATGATAAATGCCATTTTGTATGCATAATTGTGAAGGTTCAGATATAAAAAGCACCCAGGGTCTATTCCAATTGAGACCTGTCAGGGGTCTTCCTTTCAACCTGATGCCCTAACCTAGGTCGCACTTGAGAGTTACCTGAAGAATTTTTAAAGGTTCTGATAAGTCAGGTCAAAATTCAAGGCCTATTAATACAAAAAGCTCTCGAGTGGGGACCTATGTATCAGTATGTCTTAAATTGACCATCCCATTGTGCAGTCTAGGTTGAGAATTATTGCTCCAAATACTACATTTTATTTTAAATTTCATGTTACCCAAAGCTTAATATAGACCCCCACATTACTGTATAAAGGGACATAAAAGAGAAGTAACTTCATGGAAAACAATCACTTTTCTCATTCTCTTAACAAAAACCCAAAGGAAAAACAGCAACAGAACAAATAAAAATCAAAGCAACCACAAACTATTCCCATCTTGAAGTCCTGTATGGCAGGAATTGAGAATTATTCCAAAAAGATAAAACAGAGAGCTCTTGGTCATCATGGTGGAAATATCAATAAGGTGGCAGGAAAGGTGATGTGAGGGCATTCAGGGAGGAAATGGCATCTCCTGTGGAATGTGATTTAGTAGGTGAATCTGTCTGGTTAGATGTGATGGTCTTGAATACAGGAAATGGAATAGGAGAATGAAGGGTAAATGAAGATGGTGCAGGCCTTTGTGCCACTGGCCTCTGTGGCTGTCCCTGTGGTTTTGAATGCAGGAGGCCCTTGGGTGTGTGGGTCAGGGTGCACATGCCTCGGGTGGTGGACACCTGGAGTGTGGTATGTGCAAGTGGAAGTGGGCAGTGGCAGGCTATACGCGCAGGCAATAGGATGGGGTGGTAGGAAATGGTGGAGTGGCCACTGGAAAGCACCAGAGAGCCCAGAGATATTAAAGATTCACAGGGGACAGTAGCCTGACAGCCTCCTGGGCTCCCTGCCTGCCCCGCATCTGGCTGCTGCACTACAATTGGTATACAAAGATCATTAAAACATGAAAAAGGCATGAGGACTCTGTACTCTCCTTCACCCATCTGCCTGAGTCAAGAGAGAACCTGCCCTGTGTGCTGGTGTCACTACATGGGAGAAAGTCTGATCTCTTTTGAAAACAATCCTTTAGTAGTCATTTCAATAAATTTCACAATATTAGATCAGTGGTCAAATTATTAAGCCTTCTTAGAACTTGTAAAAACAAAACAAAGTGCAAGTCATAAACCAGGACTAAGATTTTGACCCTTAACATGATGGATGGGGTACAAGTTAGGGAACTTGAACAGAGAGCCCCTAAATTTGGCTGTGATTATGAAATGTGTTGGAAGAGATAGCAAAAGTATGTTTTCAGCCCATAACAATTGAGTACAACAAATTCAAGGATATTTTTTGGAAGAGTTCTGGTGCAAGAAAACATCTCTTTCATGTTCTCTCTTCATTATTAACAGTGAGGTGGATTAGGAGCCATGTACAGACCCATATTCCAATTCTGGTTCCTTGTTTCTTTTTGTTTTTAAAAGGGCAGGTTTATTAGGAAAAAAAGAAGAAAGCACCTGTGTAATAACTGGCTGCTGCCTCTGGCTCTTTTTTATTTCCTGTGGGAAATAAAAATAATCTAATTCTCAAGAAGATGTGGCACATATTCACAATGGAATATTACTCAACAATCAAAAAGATAAACACATGACATTTGCAGCAACATGGATGGAACAAGAAAAGATCATGCTTAGTGAAATAAGCCAGAAGGAAAAAGAAAAATACCAGATAGTTTCATTCATAGAAGGAGTACATGGGATCAGGAAAAATATATATATATAGATATAGTAATTGTAATAAGGTAAAAATGAACATCACCTAACAACTGTAAATCAGAGACATTCTACAGGGGAAGAGGGGAACAGGATCAAAACTGGAGCAAGAAGACCAAGGATTATGGTGATGGCACATGGGTGAAATGGGGGTGGGAAGACTAAGGGGATTACAACTGAGATGGAAAAAATGCACAAAATGAAGAATGATGTAAAATTAAAAAAATCTAATTCTCTGGACTTCAGAACCTTATTAGTGAATAGGGGATAATATCTATTTCAGAAAGCTATACAAACTAATAAAGAACAACTAATACAGCTGAAGCTTTTAATAATTTCAATCTTTTGCTTTTCTTTGCGTGCTGTTACTCTTGTGATCTTCAAGGCAGCTTCAATTCTTGCAGGTGTGGGGAGAGAACAATTTCATACAACAGAAACTTGCTGGTGATACAAACAAGTTCTTGGTTCTAGGCTGTTCATGTCTAAACATGAGAGTCATTTGTCATAAGTAAATTTGTCCAAATAATAAGGGAAAGTGATTGAATTTTTTTTTTTAATACTCTAGATCTCACTCAAAGGTGATCATTAAGGCTCAATGAACTGCAAGGGCTGACTGAGGACGGGTGATGGGCTCCGAGACAAGCGGGGTCTTTGCAAGTGTCAGGGGGAGGAGTGTGTAGATTTGGCAAGGTGGAGAAAGAACACATTTTTTTTTCAAGGAACAACTTTTACTCATGGCCAGCAAATTGTGGGCTTCTAGGGATTTAGGCTTAGTTGTTGCCAGATTAAATTTTTGAAGAGATGTCAGTTCCATAGTTAATGTAAAATCTCCCAGTTTTTAAGTGTTGATGACTAACCCACTTTCTTCGAACACTGTAAGTGTCAAACAAAACACGTCAGCTGCAACCTGTGTACCACCTGTGTGTAATCTTTGGAGTTTCATGGTCATTTCACTTCCAATGTCCTCTATTCTATGAACCCAAGAATAACTGCACTCATGGCAAGGAGGGGCTTACTGAAAGATTAAAGATTAGAAACACAGTCATACACCACTTTCACATAAGTAGTTTCTCTTGTTAGTGTTCCACTATCTATAATTAATGTTACTTCCTAGGAAACTGCAAATAGCCACTTGTTACAAAGTTAGAAATCAATTATATTTCCTGTTATGTGTTAAAGTACATAAACTTTAATTTTCTGCATGTTAGTTTTCTCTTTCTTTTAACACATCTAGTGGCTGGTTTCAATTCCCTAGGGTCCAACATTACTTTGTGCCAACTTTATTTAATTTACTCTTGAGAGGTAAAGCTTTAATGAACTTGGTTATTTGTAAAGTCGAGTATTTCACAAAAATCTTGGAAAAGCACAGTTTTCATTTTACCTGTTGTGGACTGAACTGTGTCCCCCTAAAAGTCACATGGAGAAGGCTTAACTCCCAGTATGACAGTTTTTGGAGATACAGCCTTTAAGGAGATAATCAAAGTTAAATTAACCGCAAGGGTGGGCCTCTACTCTAATAGAATTGGATCTTCCTAAGAAGAGGAAAGCCTGTCCTGGTGACGAAATGTGTTAAAGCACAGTACTACGAAGCTAGTCTTAGCCGCTTCAGAGTGAGTTCGATCCCAGGCCCCAGAGGTTACCAACATAGCATGCCAGACCTCTCCTGTCTCACTTGCTGCTCCCCTCAGCAGTGTACTTCCTCAATCTGCCTGCTCTGCTCCCCACTCTGTCTCTGGTGAATCCTCTCACTACCCCCTGCATCTCTGGCCTGTACCCCAGTTTTATATGCATAGATAAATAAATGTTTAAAGAAAAAAAAAAAAGAGGAGGAAACACCAGGAGTGGGCACATTGAGAAAAGGCCATGTGAGAAGTGAGTGGGAACATTCCATATACTCCCTGCTCTTACCAGAAACCAACCTCCTGGCACCCTGCTCTTGGATGGCTGGCCCTGAATTGTGAGGAAATAAATTCCAGTTGTTGAATACACCCTAGCAAACTAACCCAGCAATTATAGTTAACCTGATGTCTTTAGACTTCTAGACTCTTTAAAATGTCAATCACTCTCAGAGAAAACCCATTTTTAGCTTTGTCTTCCATCTGATTTCCTGCTCAAGACATGATGGCAATTTTTGTATGTCCATCTTGAAGTATGCCAATATTTACATAAGATGGCAGAATATGTACTATTTGGTGACTTACCCATAAAAGGTGAGAAAGAGGAAACCAATCCTTTTACCAAGTTTTAAAATTTCTCCTCTTTTATCTGCTGCTCCAGTGATTCTCACTATGCCTACTTTCTTGAGGTTGAAGAGCCACTTGTATGCATGTTCATCACTTCTTAAAACATCTTCAAAATCCAGAGTAGGTAGCTGGAGCTCTGAGCCCCAGTACTGACATTCTGTGAAATAAGAAAATAAAGAAATTAGCTGGAACTACATTGTTTTGACATACTGAAATAAACCTCAAAGAAGGGACTAGTTCATCAACCTTTGACTCATCGGTGTTTACTGCAAATGTCCAAGTTACCAAATATTCTTCACTGGAACCATGCCAATATACTATAAGCCTCTGTCTATAACTGTGCCCAATCCATAACAAGTACCTTCACATCACAGATAGAATGTTTAGCTTATGGCTAGCTCTTGATCTGTATGTCCTCAGGGCTTCTCTGCCTGGACACTGCTAGAAATAATCCAGAGATACTGTGTAATTCAACAGCTGAGTTATATTGCTCTATGCAAAGTAGATGATAAAATCAGAATGGTGGACCAGAACGGCCTGTGCCCATCCGTGGAAGAAGAGAGAGTAAACAAGGTAGGCCCAGTCCTACTTACTCCTAGTTCACCTGGTAAGAAGCATTCTCTCTGGGGGTCAAATCATTCTTGGGAGTTAGCAAAAAGCTGGTCACACAGAAGAAAAGGCAAGAAAGATTTCGTGGTTCTGGAATGTGGAGGTTCTTTGATGTTCATGCTCTAAGAGATGAAGTCAGATGCCTTTCTCTGCTCTCTGATTCCTTGTGGTTAAGTGCTCAAAAAACTGTTTATTTGTGTAAACTAAAAGCAACAATTGAAAGAGTACCCTCTTTCTGGCTTCCACAAAGGGGTTCAAATCAAAGAGCAAAGGCACAGCTGGACTAATCTTGGGAAGAAGCTGTGTGAACAACAGTAAAAAAATTGTCTCCTGACAAATTCCTGTAAAAGGCAATACACAGAGTAAATTTAATGACTCTGTTTCTTTTCCTCAATGCACAGACGACATAAACTAGAGAAAGGACCTGGACACATGCTCTGATCTTTGAAATGTTTTCCTTGCAAATTGTATAAATTCTTTACTGAAAACTGAAAATTCAGTCAGGTTTCCTAGAGTTAGCTATATACTAACAAGTTCTGCTTCCTTATTATTATTATTATTATTATTATTTTATTAAAAAGTTTATTTTTACATCATTTTTCACATTTTTTTTTCATCTCAATTGTAATCCCCACGGGTTTCCCATCACCAAATCACCCCTGTGCCACCACCATAGTCCCATGCATTTCCCTCCCTTCCCCCCCCCCCGTTTTTGATCCCATTCCCCACTCCACCCCCACATAATGTCTCTGGTCTATCGTTGTTCATTATTTTTGTTATTTTCTCGCCTGGTCCATTATACTCCTGCTATGAGTGAAACCATCCGGTATTTTTCTTTCTCTTTCTGGCTTATCTCACTAAGCATGATCTTTTCCAGCTCCATCCAAGTTGCTGCAAAAGACATGTGTTTCTCTTTTTTGGTTGCTGAGTAATATTCCATTGTATATATGTACCACATCTTTCTAATCCAGTCATCTACTTTTGGGCATTTGGGCTGCTTCCATGTTTTTCCAATTGTAAATAAAGCAGCAATAAACATGGGGGTACAAGTATCTTTTTCAATCAGTGTTTTTGTGTCTTTTGGGTAGATACCTAGGAGTGGGATTGCTGGGTCATAGGGAAGCTCCATGTTTAGCAGTTTGAGGAACCTCCAAACAGTTTTCCATAGTGGTTGTACTAGTTTGCATTCCCACCAGCAATGCAGGAGAGTTCCTTTTTCTCCACATCCTCGCCAACATTTGTTGTTGCTAGTTGTTTGAAGATGTGCCATTCTCACTGGGGTGAGGTGGTATCTCATTGTGGTTTTAATTTGCATCTCCCTTATTACGAGTGATGTTGAACATTTTTTCATATGCCTATTATTATTATTATTTTTTTAAAGCCAACAGTTCAGAAGAAAAAAAAAAAAGAAAAGAAAGCAGAGCAAATGTAAAAATCAATTTGCTTGCAAACTAGACTCTCCTAAATGAAGAGAAACAGAAGAAACATTTTGTCAAAGGAAATAACTCAGATATTAGCAACTGCATTTTAAAAGGACTAACAAGCTAATCTCCTTCATTTCTTAAGTTTGAAGGGGAAAGAACTTGCTTTGGGAAGGCAGATCTTCCTAATGAGTGACAGAATGAGGATTTATGATATCACTGTATCCTGAGCAATGCTTTAATTTCTATCTGGGGAATATGGTCATGTCATGGAAAAGACCCCTGTTGCCCCGTTTAAGAATGAAGAATTCTTTTTTTGTTTTCTGGATGGGAAATCATTCCTTCTTTGATGTCAACATATCTGTTTCTAAGGAAACGGGTTTCTTAACAGTCAGAAAGTAGTTGTAGTTATGTGAGACAAATGCAGGTGGTTCAGGAAGCCACTTCCTACTTTTCCACCAGCTTGCAGCGCAAGGACATTTGCAGAGGTGTGTGTGTGTGGGAAGACTTAATCAGTGTATAAATGCCCAATATTGCCATAGTTTCTGGGTTATTAAGCACAACAGCTTTCATATGAGGCAGAACTTTCAGGGCTTAAGTTGCAACTATAAATTAAGCATTCTTTTTTTTGGACAATGTTAATATGTTTCAAAATTGAAGACATTCCATTGCCTCAAGTGACTTATTGCATCTTTGCAGGAAGCAGCACTATCCAGTCACTGATCCCTAATTTCCCTATCTATCTGTCTCTCTTCATGTGCTTATTAAATTTGAGGGAACCTCAGAATTTAGTATTAGCCAAGTCAATGAAAAGTAGCTCAGCACCTGGCCCATGTCAGAACATAGCTAAACCAGTAACAGACAAAGAGAGGTAAAGATTTTGGGACAATGAATACAATTTTTTTACGGGGTTGGATTTGACAATTTCTTGGTACTCCTTGATTACACAGCTATCTGAGAGTCATGTGTTGACTGGTCTTCTCAAGCCTGAAGTTTCACAGGCACTGTGCAAGGGAGCAGGCCCAGGGGAGAACTGGTAGCTAACAACTGGAACCCGATTTGATAGATGCAAAATTAGAGTTTGTTGAGGACACCACCAAGGATCAAATCTTCTGATCCTTCTTTAATGCCCCATTTGATGTCAGCTATCATTTTATGGGCTTGACATTGCCCAAGTCTGACCCTCCTGCTCCAACTATTAGTTTTAAAATAGAACATGACTGGTTTTATAAAGATAGATCTTCTCGAAGAGGCAACCTACTTGCCTTCATTTTTGAATGTTGGGTTATGTTGTTTGCTTTGCTATTTCCATTTTCTCATCAAATTTAAGTCTCCAGGTTGTAATATGTTCCTAATCAAAAAGGCCGGCAAAAAGGTGGTATCACAAACATTGCTTATTGACTGCCTAACCAAAAGCCATTATTAGTCAGTTAGAACAATTTCATGGGCAAGACATGAATTTGCTAAGGACATCCATAACGAATCACCAGATCTTCTTTTGAAAGCTTATACCTAAGTCAACAATATCTAGAAAATTAAAAAAAAAGTTTTAAGCTTTAGATATCTAAGTGAAAATCATGGACACATGGAATAAAAGGGGTAGAGGTGAAAATAGACTGATCTGGTATTTTCACACTGGTTTAGAATTTCCAATCATCATTTATTCTTATTAATGAGAAAAAAATTGTTTAAACTATAGCTGAGGTTACTTCTCATTGTTGGGCACTGTGATGTGGCCCAGGACATGGGCTTCTTTTCTATTTAGACTGAAGAATGGATTAGTAAGTGTGTGCATGTCTGCCTATATCAGGTGTACCATCTTTATGACAAAAGATTAAGCAATTTATTGATTAGCTTTTCTTATATTATATATGATTGAAAGCAAGTTAACCTGGCAAGACAGTTTGGTATCTACTAATGCAGAATTATCAAATCAATTTTTTTTGAGATGATAGAAATATTCTGTATCAGCATTGTCTGGCTCCATAGCTACGAGCAACAGAAAACATTAAACTTGGCATGTGACTAGTGGAACTGAACCAAGTTGATTTTTCACTACATTAAATTTTAACTAACTGAAGCTCACATTTAAATAGCGAATGTGCCTGGTATTATATGAGATAGGACATAACAGAGCAAAGAACATGGCAGCAGGCAAGCCAGGGGGGGGATTATCTCCCTTCTTACCAGGCAGTTTCTTGGTCACTCCCTCAGCCTCCATCTTAAGACTTAGATAGCCATAATTATTTTTATCTTACAGGCTTTTCTTTGGTCGTATAAGGAGATTATGCAAAGAACCCACTACAGTGCCTGGTCCACTGGAGAGCATTAATAATAACAAAAATTTTAATACATTTCCAGGAGCAAGTACAGTACTAGAGGCTTTCATTAAATTATTATAATGTCAAAATAAATATATATTAGATAAATGTTTTTAGTATTCCCATGCAAAGAGATAGGAACAGAGACTGAGTTGCAGCTAATGATTTGCACAGCAAATTAGTCAAATCTAGGCAATTAATTCTAAAGTCTGTAATTTTACTGATTACACATAAACTAAACATTTGATGACTTGAAATACCATTGTCACACATTTTCATGTGCTTTAATGCCCATAGCTTATGCTGTCCCTTATAAAGAAACTATTAGATTAAAAAGAAAGGGCAAGTTATGATTAGAAACACTTTGTTTGAACTTGTTCAAGCATGGGTGTTTACAGAGAGATCTTGGCTTCTCATCAGAATTTTAAATGTAGAAAAACATCACGCACAAGTTTCTTTGCATCACATTACTATTCATCTATGGTGAAAATAATCAAAGCTTAGAAACCGGCTTGCTTCTCTTCTCTAACTTATGTCGGTATATTTCAGTGAACCATGGCAGTTTGGTTTTATCTTATGGACATGATCACTTTCCTGAGAGCTTTGGTAATTGTGTGGTAGGGAACAGAGATTTAAAAGACACTTTCACAAGATGTAAATGTTTTACAAACTTTGAGTATGTATTTTGACGACTTTGTAATTTAAGTAGGATTCTGCTTAGGGCACACTCTATATACATCTATATACATTTATAGCGTATCTTAATGAATTTTTGTTTCTATATGAGTCATTTTCCCATTATAGAA